AATGCCCAGGACCCTGCATACTCTGCTTTCTTTGTTCTAGTGGAGGTTCCAGCTACAATTCTTTCTGACTCTTGGATTGGCGGCAAGGCGTGGACAGTTTCACACGTTGGGATGCGTTGAGGTGCTGTGATAATTTCTGGTACTGGTAATGTTACAGGTGCTGGGTTCGCTTCAGATGTTGGGATGGGTTCAGGTGCTGCGATAGTTTCTGATACTGGTAATGGTACAGGTGTTGGAATGAGTCCAGGTGCTGCGATAGTTTCTGGTACTGGTACTGGTAATGGTACAGGTGCTGGGATCACTTCAGGTATTGGGATGGGTCAAGGTGCTGCGATAGATTGTGGTACTGGTAATGGTACAGGTGGTGGGATTGCTTCAGGTGTTTGGATGAGTCGAGGTGCTGCGATAGTTTCTGGTACTGGTACAGGTGCTGGGATCGCTTCAGGTGTTGGGATGGGTCCAGGTGCTGGGATGGCTTCTGGTGTTGGGATGGATCCTGGTGCTGCGATAGTTTCTGGTACTGGTACTGGTAATGGTACAGGTGCTGTGATAGTTTCCGGTACTGGTACTGGTACAGGTGTTGGGATGGGTCCAGGTGCTGGGATCGCTTCAGGTGTTGAGATGGATCCTGGTGCTGCGATAGTTTCTGGTACTGGTACAGGTGCTGGTATCGCTTCAGGTGTTGGAATGGGTCCGGGTGCTGCGATAGTTTCTGGTACTGGTAATGGTACTGGTGCTGGGATCGCTTCAGGTGTTGGGATGTGTCCAAGTGCTGCGATGTGTCCAGGTGCCGTGATGGGTCCAGGTGCTGAGATCGGTCCAGGTGCAGTAGATAGTCCCAATTCTTGGATTTTAGGGTATATTCCTAATTGGGGAAATACCAAAAGAGCTACGCATATTACAATCTTGGCTGATGTTTGCCACATTTTCGTGGCTTTTTCTTACAACAGTACGAAATACTATTTAGTACGTCTAACACGGGTTTCGTTCAAACCGCCAAATGCAATGAAGACCTGGTGTAGCTGGTTTACCGTCTGTGTATTTGTAACACTCACTATTCTACACACTCCGTAAATTATACTGCAAACGCCGAGTTTTTAATAGTCGTTCCTTGGCAGTGGCACACTGTCGCTAGTATATCTCCCTCCTCGCCTCACTGTCGAAGTCAAACTGAAGAATCAAGCTAGCTGCTTCGTTATATATCCTGGGCCTGACCCCGTGTCGCCTGGTGTCGTAATGTACTGTGACGTGGCGTCTGAGCGCTGACGTGGCGGCATCAGAGCGCTGACGTTACTGCTTCCCCTACCCCGCCAACGGTGACGTAACACTTTGGGAGCGTTGTAGGTTGTTAACTAAACCAATTAACAATCCGAACGGCGTCTTGAGTGGCAAGAAAGACGTTACACTACGTAGCAACCACTATTATTTACAGAGCGATTATCTAGCAACGTAGTGTGTTTACAGAGCAATTACCTAGCAACGGCCTCTGTTTACGAAGCGAATACCTAGCAACAGCTTTTAATAGCAGCTTATTTCGCTGTCGGTGCCAGGTTACGGGTATACATGCGTAGTTTTGTAGATACTGGAAGCGTCGTAAAATAACGTGAAGAATAATGAGCTGATATGTCTTTGTAATTAACATGAATAATGGTTTTCTGTTATGTAAGAACTGCATTTATGAACGTAATATTTAATAACTAAACTGCTTCAAAGTCTTAAATCTCTGAGCAAATTTCTTTGAATTTCTTTAATGTAAAGTAGACCTATCGAGACAGCATTGTGAGTGTGGGGGAAAACTGTACTGATTAAATGTGTATTTCAAGTACAGCGCGAATAAGTAATGTTTTAATGAAAATATCAAATACATTCGGATGAATACTCGACAGCTCGACAGCGCTAGTGTCGGCCAGAGAATGAAGGTGCTTGAGGTTGCCATTTTGTTTGTGAGGTTGGTGGGATGTGAAAGTGTAGGGGTGTAGGGGAGCTTATTTTACGGCTTGTAATCATTTAAAAATTAA